TATAAGAATGGATAGATTAACCACTTGTTGACCCCACTATAACGGGGATGCGGTTGTCCAGTTCTGGGAGGGCATCATATGCCCACAGTGCCCAGCAGTGCTGCCAATCTGTGCCCATCAGTGCAGCCAATCTTTTCCTATCAATGCAGCCAGTCAGTGCCACCTATCAATGCCGCAAGTCAGTGCCACCAATCAGTGCCCTTCAGTGCTGTTTATGTGCCCATCAGTGCCGCATATCAGTGCAGCCTCATCACTGCCTCCTGATCAATGCCAACCAATGCTGCCTATCAGTGTAGTCTATTAGTGCCCACCAGTGCTGCCTATCAGTGCCGCCTCATCAGTGTCCATCAGTGTTGCCTATCAGCTCCCATTAGTGCTGCCTATCGGTGCCACCTATCAGTGCCCATCAGTGCAGCCTCATCAATGCACTTCAGTGAAGGAGAAAAATTACCTGTTTGCAAAATTTTATAATAGAAACTAAGAAGAACGTTTTCTGTTAAAAAAAACAACAGACTTACTGGCTGGATCACCAGATGAAAATAGAAGAAAAAAGCCTAACAGAGAAAACTAATGCAGCCATCACATCCAAGAACTGGTAAGCTGCAATACAACACATGTTTGCTTTTCTGTTTAATGCGGTTTTAATGAAAGGATTTCTTTGGTGTGTCTTTTATATGTATTTTAGATGGTCACTCAAGTCTGATCCAAGAGCAGCAGTCCTGATTGGAGCATTGGAACATGTAGGGTATATGAAGAACATACAGAGAGAGTGACATAACACAGGTTGGTACACACTGAGGCTGTTGAGAGTTGTGGATTCATTTGTACCTAGACATGCACTTTTCATTTTTTTTTACAATTCATGTTTTTGGATGAAAATTTCATTTTGGATGTATACGAATCTTCAAATGGACATAGTAACGATAGTCACCAAATGAAAAAAAAAGTTATAATGAAATTAACAAATGCATTAGTTTCACATTATACGATTGTAGTTCAGGCCCATGGGGAAATAAATTCCATTTTCCAATGTGTTCAATAATATTCCATTCGCTACTTCAGATGCACAAGATGTCAATCGATATTGTTCAATCAGCTCATGACATTTCTCTTGGTGGGTTGGACTAGTGTCCGAAAATATGGAATCCTTCCAATTCAAATCCGTCTGATTCGATAATATATCAAATATATACCAATCTACTGGAAAAACTTCAAAATTTTTCTTATCTACCCAGACAACGAATATAAGAATTGAATGCCGAAGATACAAAACAAATTCCAAAATTATATTGGTTCAACATAACGAAACAAAATTCTTCAATGAATGAATTCATCTGAAACCAAAGGAAACCAAAAATTTACAGCGTGCACATGTCTATTTGTAACTGCTTGGTTGAGGCTGCCTGAGGCCCTACTAGAAATACTAAAACTGGATAAAAGAGCCCAAGACTATTTTAATTGTTGATTTTAAAAAAAGTCATATACCAACAATTAAAATTAGCTTGGATTCTTTTGTCCGGTTTTGGTCTGGTACTCCTTTCAGTGGGGGAGATTTACTAAAACTGGAGCACTCGGAATCTGGTGGAGCTGTGCATGGTAGCCAATCAGCTTCTAACTTCAGCTTGTTCAATTAAGCTTTGACAATAAAACCTGGAAGCTGATTGGTTTCTATGCAGATTTTGCACCATGTAGTTTTAGTGAATAACCCCCTGTATTTCTATGGTTTGACATATTGTTGAGTGCCCATTGAGGAAAGCCTTACTGTGTGGGAGGCTGAGCTTGTCTGAAGTCTTCCTTCATCTGACTACACATGCAAGTCTAAAGGTTCCCAGCCCCTCTTTGAGTATGATGTTCTGTGGACCTACTAGGGCCATTAAAGCACTTTTGGGCACCAGGATTAGGTGGCTGGTTCTTGAAAAGAGCAAACAGAGTATCGTGTTAAATAGGGGAATGGGGGAGATGAGCCATGCTGGCAGATGCATCTTGCACTTCTGTTCAGACAAGGGAACAATAGCCACTGCTGCAGGTTTTCTAATCCTCTGGATTTTTTCCCCAGATGGCAGCCAGAAGGGGGCCTCCTGTACAAATAAAAGAGTCATTCGGGTGACTGTCATCTCATGTTTACAGGTACCTTTACTAAAGAAAAGTATTTGAAGCAGTCAATTCCACCATTTGGGTTTTACTCATTTCATTCCACCACTCTATTTCATGTTGTTATTGAAAAATGAACATCCTCTTATATTTTACACTTCTTCCATCTCCGAAAAACTGAAATATTCAAATATCTGTATACTGTATCAGCACAGTATAAATTATATTATTGAGAAGATGACAAAGAAAAGAGCTAAGATAGATCTCACATTCAGACATCATAAAAGTAAATGTACACAGGAAAAACTGACAATAAATATTTTTGATGATTATCAATTAGTCTGTCGGTAGCAAATCTTTCATCAGATAAATTGAAGTGGAAATGCTGCAAGGTCCACAGCACTCTCTGCTGGACCCTCTAACATCATTAGGTTCATTACATTCTGCTCAGTTCCAGCAGCGAGTGAAATGCTTAAATCTGGAACACTTGATAGTCTATAATAATAGGAACATCAGTACTGATAGTTTAGAAATATGAAAGCTGAAAGTGTTATTTCCATTCTCCAAGACTATTCAACATTGCTATTATGTACATACTTCAATTTCATGTACATGATTTTCTACACAGAAAATGCCTTAACAAACCATATTAGCCTAATGAAGTGATCCGATCCCATCTCGCCTGCCAATGATGTTATTCTAACTTTCTGATACAAAACAGAAAGAGAAGATGTGAGCAGTGTTCTCATAAAATAGTGTTTGCTATATTTCCAATCTGTAATATATTTACAATTTAGAATGAACAGGTGGGTTAGAATGGCCCTCTTATGCTATAATAATGATATTAAAGTAGAACTAAAGGCAAAACTTTTTTTTTTTTAATTTCGGAAGTAAGGGAGGGTTATAACCCCCACCAGGTTTTTTTGCCATTAGTGTGCAATTGAAGAGATTTCCCTTCACTTCCTGTCCCATAGCCTCAACAGGAAGTCGGAGAAAATCCCTACAAAGTGAGGAAATTCCTGGAAAACTTTCCCCTCTATACCTGGTCTAGTGACAACCCCACATTTGAGATTCCTTTTTTATCTTTTACTCAAATTGATAATGGTAAACAGGACAAATAGGGTGAAACTCCCTAAACACAACATCAATAAATTTGAACCCCTCTCCACTCTATCCAAAACTGTACTTTAACCCTTTCGTATGGCCCGGCATTCCTGCTTCTGCTCTTTAGTGACCATGAGCTTATAGCAAACCTGTTCATCTGTTTCGTCTCAAATGTTCCCCCTATTGCCAATGCTTCCCTGTCTCAGCCTCTCCACCGCCCGCATTGCTGTCCTTCTCTATTAAATGTCCCCCCCCTCCTCTACCTCTCCCACCAGCTTGCTTCGAGTGCTGCAGGGGCTCTGAAGCACAGAAACATGTCTCCCCCTCCATTCTGACCTCTCCCCACCACTTTGCCCCCCCCCACAATAGCCCCCCCCTCACCATTTCCCCTCCTTTCCCTCTGTCTGCAGTCCCTTTCTCTGTCGCAAAAAAGAGGCATCAGAGTATATATAGCGTACGCCCCTGCAAGGCCGTGTTTACCCACATACCTGTGCAGGCAGTGCCATTGATGTAATTTGGGATGTATCAACAGCACAAATATAGCTGTTGCTCCCAATTTGACATTTATGTGGGTCCGGGTGCATGTACCTGAGCTCACTATGTCTGCGTTCAGAGTCGCGCACCCACACCCACACCCACATGGATGTCACATTAGGAGCAGCAGCTATGCCCATGCAGCTGTTGCATCCCAACTGGCATGAATAGGACTGTCTGCACAGGAATGCACGGAACACCTGAGCATCCCTATGTGGGTAAACCCAGCCCATGCGAACAAGACCTTTATAGCAATTTAGCAGGAATTTTAAAAGTCATGTTGTGTTTGTGTGCACTAATAATGTTTTTTAGTGTTTTTTTAACCACTTGCCTACCAGGCACTTATACCCCCTTATTTACCAGGCCAATTTTCAGCTTTCAGCGCTGCCGCACTTTGATTGGCACTTTGATTGACAATTGCGCGGTCATGCAACATTGTACCCATATGAAATTTTGATCATTTTTTTTCTCACAAATAGAGCTTTCTTTTGGTGGTATTTAATCGCCACTGGGCACTTTACTTTTTGCGCTATAAATAAAAAATTGCCAAAAATTTGAAAAAAAAAAAAAAGTTTCTTTGTTTCTATTATAAAAAATTTTTCAAACAGGTAATTTTTCTCCTTCACTGATGTGCGTTGATGAGGCAGCACTGATGGGCACTGATAGGCGGCACTGATGGGCACTGATAGGCAGCACTAAAGGGCACTGATAGGCAGTACTAATGAGGTGACACGGATAGGCGGCACTGATAGACAGCACTAATGAGGTGTCACGGATAGGCGGCACTAATATGCAGCACTGATAGGCGGCACTGATAGGTGACACTGATGATGGGTACTGATAGACGGCACTGACTGGCATCACTGCTGGGCACTGACTGGCGGCACTGACTGGCACAACCGCTGGGCACTGACTGGTGGCACTGACTGGCAGCACTGCTGGGCTGCACTGGTGGGTGGCACTGGTGGGCAGCACTGGTGGGTGGGCACAGGTGGGTGGCACTGGTGGGCACAGGTGGGTGGGCACAGGTGGGTGGCACTGCTGGGCACAGATAGGTGGCACTTCTGGGCACAGGTGGGTGACATTGCAGAGTGGCACAGGTGGGTGCACTGCTGGGCACAGGTGGGTGATCTGCTGGGCACAGGTGGGCGGAGCTAGTGGGCGCACTGCTGGGCACAGGTGGGCGGAACTTGCGGGTGGCACTGCTGGGCACCAATCATCAGGGCACTGATCATCAGTGCCCTGATGATCGGTGCCGATCTCCGCTCTGACAACTGCCGGTTCTCGGCAGTACTTTCCTCACGATCTGACAGCGTGAGGAAAGTGCAGCCGAGAACCAGCACTTGCATTTCCCTCTGATCAGCGTGTCATTGGACACCGCTGATCAGGTGGTAAAAGGCCGCTGTGATTGGCCTTTTACCACATCACGTGATCAGCTGTGTCCGTAGGACACAGCGATCACGGAGATCGCCGGGTGCGCGCAGGAGAGCGCGTTCTGGGGGGAGCACTTTTTTTTTATTCTACAGCTCATGTGCTTTCAGAAAATGTATGGTTTGGTGGGTCTTTTTAAATTCTGAAAGCTGTAAATTGAAAATGGTAACCTCCAGATCTTGAGACCAAACTGTTTATAATTACAGTTTTGCGCACATTCTGTTTTCATCATTTCACAAAAAGGTGTAATTTAACCACTTGCCTACCGGGCACTTATACCCCCTTCCTTACCAGGCCAATTTTCAGCTTTCAGCGCTGCCGCACTTTGATTGACAATTGCGCGGTCATGCAACATTGTACCCATATGAAATTTTGATCATTTTTTTTCACACAATAGAGCTTTCTTTTGGTGGTATTTAATCGCCACTGGGCGCTTTACTTTTTGCGCTATAAATTAAAAAAAGTGCAAAAAATTTGAAAAAAAAAAAGTTTATTTGTTTCTTTTATAAAATTTTTCAAACAGGTATTTTTTCTCCTTCACTGATTTGCGTTGATGAGGCGGCACTGATGGGCACTGATAGGCGGCACTGATGGGCACTGATAGGCAGCACTAAAGGGCACTGATAGGCAGTACTAATGAGGTGGCACGGATAGGCGGCACTGATAGACAGCACTAATTAGGGGTCACGGATAGGCGGCACTGATATGCAGCACTGATAGGCGGCACTGATAGGTGACACTGATGATGGGTACTGATAGACGGCACTGACTGGCATCACTTCTGGGCACTGACTGGCAGCACTGACTGGCACAACCCCTGGGCACTGACTGGTGGCACTGACTGGCAGCACTGCTGGGCTGCACTGGTGGGTGGCACTGGTGGACAGCACTGGTGGGTGGGCACAGGTGGGTGGCACTGGTGGGCACAGGTGGGTGGCACTGGTGGGCACAGGTGGGTGGGCACAGGTGGGTGGCACTGCTGGGCACATGTAGGTGGCACTTCTGGGCACAGGTAGGTGGCACTGCAGAGTGGCACAGGTGGGTGCACTGCTGGGCACAGGTGGGGGCACTGCTGGGCACAGGTGGGGGCACTGCTGGGAATGGGTGGGCGGGGCTAGTGGGCGCACTGCTGATCGGAACTTGCGGGGGTCACTGCTGGGCACCGATCATCAGGGCACTGATCATCAGTGCCCTGATGATCGGTGCCGATCCCCGCTCTGACAACTGCCGGTTCTCGGCAGTACTTTCCTCACGATCTGACAGCGTGAGGAAAGTGCAGCCGAGAACCGGCACTTGCATTTCCCTGTGATCAGCGTGTCATTGGACACCGCTGATCACGTGGTAAAAGGCCGGTGGGATCGGCCTTTCACCACATCACGTGATCAGCTGTGTCCGTAGGACACAGCGATCACGGAGATCGCCGGGTGCGCGCCCCCTGGGGCGCGCAGGAGAGCGCATTCTGGGAGGACGTCATATGACGTCCACTCAGAACTGGCCGGCCGCGGTGAAGCCGTCTTTCGGCTATGCGCGGTCGGCAAGAGGTTAAAATGTATAAATATTTGTTATTTATTGACTCAATGCAGTTTTAGCTTTTATATTTAGTTGGAATTTAGCAGGAATTTTGTAAATCTTGTCATGTACAGTTGTGTTCGAAATAACAGCAATCAGACATCACTAACCTGATCAATCACTGTTTTTGGTAGAAATGATATTTCTACATGGCAAATAATTTACTAGCAGGTATAGTAGAGTAACAGAAATCCAACAGACCCAACAGTCATGACATGCATGCTGCTGATTCTGTGTAATTGAATCACTAATTGAAAGGGGCATGTTCAAAATAATAGCAGTGTGGAGTTCTGTTAGTGAGGTCATTCAATCTTTGTAAAACAGGTGGCAATTATTGCCCTTATTTAAGGAAGGAAGGCAGCAAATGTTGTACATGCTGGTTACAGTGCATTTCTCTCTGAAATTCTGAGGAAAATGGGTTGTTCCAGACATTGTTCAGAAGAGCAGCGTACCTTGATTAAAAAGTTGATTGGAGAGGGGAAAAACATATAAAGAAGTGCAGAAAATGATAGGATGCTCAGCTAAAATGATCACAAATGCTTTAAAAATGGCAACAAAACCTGAAAGACGTGGAAGAAAGCGAAAAACAAACCATTCGAATGGATAGAAGAATAGCCAAAATGGCAAGGACTCAGCCAACAATCAGCTCCAGGAAGATCAAAGAAGGTGTTAAGTTACCTGTGAGTACTGTTACAATTAGAAGACGCCTATGTGAAGCCAAGCTATTTGCAAGAAGCCCCCGCAAAGTCCCACTGTTGAAAAAAAGACGTGCTGAAGAGGTTACAATTTGCCAAAGAGCACATTGACTGGCCTAAAGAGAAATGACGCAACATTTTGTGGACTGATGAAAGTAAGATTGTTCTTTTTGGGTCTAGTGGCCGGAGACAGTTTGTCAGACGCCCCCAAACACTGAATTCAAGCCACAGTACACTGTGAAGACAGTGAAGCATGGTTGCACAAGCATCATGATATGGGGATGTTTCTCATACTACGGTGTTGGGCCTATTTATCGCATACCAGGGATCATGGATCAGTTTGAATACATCAGAATACTTGAAGAGGTCATGCTGCCTTATGCTGAAGAGGAAATGCCCTTGAAATGGATGTTCCAACAAGACAACGACCCCAAACACACCAGTAAACGTGCAACATCTTGGTTCCAGACCAACAAGATTGACATTATGGAGTGGCCAGCCCAATCCCTGGATCTTAATCCAATAGAAAACTTGTGGGGTGACATCAAAAATGCAGTTTCTGAGGCAAACCAAGAAATGGAGAAGAACTGTGGAATGTAGTCCAAACATCATGGGCTGGAATACCTGTTCACAGGTGCCAGAAGTTGGTTGACTCCATGCAACACAGATGTACAGCAGTTCTTAGAAACAGTGCTTATACAAACTAAATATTAATTAAGTGATTCAAAGGAAAGCAAAATCTTCAAACATTTTTCATTTTATATAGTGAATGTTTGAGTTAGTAAAGAAGAATACAAACACTGCTATTTTTTTGAACAGTCTAATATTCACTTTTCTTCAATTTTTTTTAGAGGAACAACACAAATTTGATCTATTTTTCTTCATGTTTTGATTTGGAATAGAATGTGTAGTGCTCCCAATACATTTGTGTGTATGGGAATAAAAGCTATTAGAAGGATTTTGAGCTTTATTCATTTTTTTCAACACACTGCTATTTTTTGAACACAACTGTATGTATCCACTAATAATGATTTTAGTGTATTGTGAAAATAGCAATTTCATGAACTATTGCGGGGGCCTCAAAAAATCAGTAGCACAATTTTTTTATTCTATAGATCAGGGCTCAGCATTTCAAGTCCTGAGTTACTAGCTAGGCCTTGAGAGCTACTAGCCACCAGTTGCCCCACCCAAACCCTACCCTGCCCCGCCCCGCCCTGCCTCTAAACACACCCTCATAAATTAACTCATGAAATGACACTGTTGAATGTTACCCATATTACATCAGCATCCCCAGAGTCCCCCAACATTACATCAAGGCCTCCAATGTCCCCCTAAACACTCCATCATACTTAGACCATGCACCACATACAACCATAAACCCCCCATAATCTTTCACTCACCAAACCATAACTCTGCCAAGAATATCCTACCATCTATCCAACCCAGCAATACCTCATATGGCCCATACTCTACCACCCATAATAACACATCATCCTGAACCTGTCCAAACCACCCATACATGTATGTTTACACACAGATACATGTACACACACACACACACATACATGTACATACACATACATGCACATACACCACATGTACATACACACAGACACATGTACATACACACTCACAGACACATGCGCACACACACACACACACACACACACACACACACATACACATGTACACACACATATACACACAGACACATGTACATACACTCAGACACATACACACAGACACATGTACATACACAAACACATACACACACACACGTACATACACAAACACACATGTACACATAGTCACATGTACATACACATACATACACACAGACACATGTATACACACACACACACACAGATACAGACACATTTACATACACACAGAAACAGACACACATACACACATTACACACACACACACACACACACACACACACACACACACAGATACATATACAGACACATGTACATGCACACAGACACATGTATATACACACAGACACATGTATACAGACACATGTATACACACACACACAACCACGCACACACAGCCCTATAAAAAGTTGCAGTACTTTGTTACCTTCACTCACAGAGCCGGTTACTACACTTTAGGGGGAGGCAGAGAGCACAGCACACACCCCCCCTTCCTTTGCTTTCACTTTGCTCAATTATTGAGCAGTCTGATGGCTCCCAGTGTGAGTGACAGAGAGACTGCCCTGAGTTCAAAGCCTGCTCAGCAAGACGGCCCTGGGGGATACACTCACCCCCACCATATTTCCACTTGCCAATATAGCAGGTGAGCTGAAATTTTGGGGCCTGCTATAGATCATGTGCTTTAAGAAAATATATGGTTTTAGGGGGTCTTTTACAAATTCTAAAAGTTGTGAATGAAAAATGAGTAAATAGTTTTTATTTACAGTTTTGCATTCCTTCCATTTCTCCCATTTTACAAAAAGGCGCAATTTAAAATGTACAAATATTTGTTATTTATTAACTCAGTACAGATTTAACTTTTGTATTTAGTTGGAATTTAGCAGAATTTTTGTAAAGTTTGCCATGTATGTATCCACTTAGGATTTTAGTGTAATTTTAGCAAAATCATTGATTGATAAACATTTGTGGAAATATCACAGGGCCTGAAAAATCAGTAGCATTTTACTTTTATTCTACTGGTGACATGCTTTCAGAAAATATATGGTTTGGGGGGGGGGGGGGGGGTCGGGGTCTTTCACAAAATTTGACAGCTGTAAGGGAAAATTAGAAAAAATGGAAAATTGCAAAAAATGGCCTGACCACCAGAGTTTAAAATGGAGCACAGAGTCTGGCAGAGAGAGGGTTAAAGCATAGGCCCACCTAAAACCAGACTATTTTTGTACTAACAGAAATATGTAGGCTGCTGTTGTTGGTCTTCCAATGACATTCCAAGTTGCTTGATTTTCAGTTTGATCCTCGGGTTCCAATGCTATCAACAAAACAAGTATGCAAATATGACTTCCCTGGTTGCATACTTGTTCCAGTTCAAATGCAAAGAAAACACTGAAGACAGAGACAGTCAGATAACAGTTATTTTCAAGCAAGAGGTCATCAATGTCAGAATACAGATTTTCTTTAGGCCCTGCACAGTTACCGGAGCCTCATAGCATGCTCCCACAAGTAGAGATCTTATGACTGTGTGACAGCCAATTACGGTGGTCACATGACCCTAAACCCCGCCTCCTGGCATCAGAAACCCTTAAAGGGCTGGGATGAAAAGTCTATCTAAAGCCAAGCTTTTTTTTTGTTTGTTTTAGAAAAAGTAGGGAATAGTTAAAACCCGTTATTTTTTTTTTATTCAGTGGGGTTTTCCCTTCACTTTGATTCCCAGAGACACAACAATAAACAAAAGGAAATATTCCCAAAGGAGAAATCCCCTCTCACACACTCACTAAAATAGGTGTCCTCATTGAAAAATGTCCCTTTGCCCCCTGTTCCGGTGACAACAGCAACATTTTGGACCTTTCATCCTTTTGCATACCAAAAACATTACTCAGCAGGGACACAGACATCAGTAAAAATCTGACAGCAGATCAAACTCTTTCCCTTTGTAACCCAAAAAGAAATTGTCTTTAGACAAACTCCTAGATGGACCACTAGGCTAGATGGTACATTTCCTCACTCCAACCTTACTGCAGCTATGCTTTTATTTGTCATACTCCCTATCAAAAGCATCAATAATAGAGGTGAAAATCATTTTTCAAGGCTACTGAGAAAAAATTCATTTTCGGGAGAAGGTTGATTTTATTCTTTGTTTTCACAATCAATGGTTGGATCTTAGATGATAGCCACATGGCCTTTTCAGTGATGCAAACTGTATTAGGGATGATAAAAATAAACACTATATTGCTAAAAGTATTGGGACGCCTGCCTTTACATGCATATGAACTTTAATGGCATCCCAGTCTTAGTCCGTAGGGTTCAACATTGAGTTGGCCCACCCTTTGCAGCTATAACAGCTTCAACTCTTCTGGGAAGACTGTCCACAAGGTTTAGGAGTGTGTCTATGGGAATGCTTGATCATTCTT